TATGGATTTTTATCAATAACTGACAACATGTTATCAAAATTTACATCCGATAATTCTATCTATTTTTTCCTAGCATAATGGCTATTTGTCCTTGTTATATCAATATAGACAACACATGTAAATGTTATCAATGAAAAATTGCAGGTTTGCAAGCTTAGGAATGCCTTAGAAATCATATCCACTACCGCACATATTCCAATAAATGAAATCAAAACTAGAAATGTGTTTTTCAACATAGGTGAAATAACATGGAACTTATACTCCGGAGAAACTTGGGAATTAAAAATAAACAAAGGGCCATAACTCTGTATATAGTGGGGCACAACACCTAATTCTAGTGCACTGCACACCTTCTATGGGTGATGCAGGTAAACTTCAAGTTTGATCAAGATATCTTTAATGGTTTAAAAATTACAGGCCGAACAAGAATTTACTGAAAATGTCCCACTTATTTGACCTTTGACCTTGAGGTGAAGGTCACAGTGACCTAATTCAAGTGCAGAAGGAAGAACCAGAACTGATATTATATGTCTCCCTTCATTCGAAGGGGAGACATAATTTCTCACAACTATTAACTGCTGAGCTGATGAACTATTTATATACATTTTACTGTGTAAATTATTTAACGATAATTTTACATCTGACTCCAAACCTTTGCACAAGAAAAATATAATTTTTAATTAGATTGAAGTGTGTTTCAAACTATTCCTAAAACACCACTGAAGGCAGGTGTGTGAATATGCATGCAGCCTCACATAGGTTAATGTTAAATGTTATTTATCGGCATTGCATTTCCATTCACTGCTGGTAAGTCAGCCTGCTTCCTTGTAGATCAAACTGTTTTTGCAAGATACGATTACAGTTGTACATTATTTTAACTTTCAAAATGAATGATTTCAGAATCTCCATTTACGACACTTATACTAGCGATGTATTTTCCCACATACACAAGGTAAAAAACAATTATTTGTGCAGTTAGTCGCAACAATGCCTACCTCTGTATATTATGAAAAGATTAGTTTTTGAAGTTGCGGGTATCTTAAATCTCACAGGGTATGAATTTACATACAGAGCTGAAAAGGTCACATGACCAACATGTTAAGTTACGTAAACCACCTACTGTTTTTCTATTGTGCTATTTACGAGTTTAGGGTTAGAGTTTATTTGCTGAATAATTGATGTTATGCAACCTGAGAAAAGGGTAGCCTCTGGTGCATTTTACCGACAATTTTTGAAAGACTGACATTGATAAACTGCGGATATGTACCAGTTTCTCACAAAATCTGTATATCATTCCAGATGTTGTGAAACTTCCCTGGCATGAATTATGTAAACATTTTATTCCGTATGACTACAGAATTAATAAGAACACCAAATCTTGCAGGACTTTTAAAGAAGAAAAAGGGGAAAAAAATATGATAATAATAACAAATAAACAATCAAACAAATAAACAACAATATTCTGAGAGTGAAAATGCAACAAGGACAGACTTGGATTCGAGCCCAGGACCTCAGATCGTAATATGGGCGCTCTTACACCAACTGAATGACCTGATCTGCAGTGTTGCTTTGGCCTAGCTAAACTTCGGTTAAATCTTACATGAAATTAAGGGGAGGTTAGTGTGCGTAGGAAAAAAATTGTGGAATTCTCTAGTGTTTTGTCTGCAACGGGACAGGGATCCTTAACCCTTTCACCCCTATGTAACTTTAGTAAACTCAGCCATGCATTGATACGGATGAGTCGATTATGGTCTACAGTGGTGAAAGGGTTAAAGGTACATTTTGTTAGATAGGACCAAATAGGAAAGGTATCAATAAGGCCCCCTGTGAGATAGCCCAGGGTATGTCCACAAAATAAGCCTCAATCCTTCTATAACAGTTTCACAGGATACCTATTTATAGAAAAAAAACTTTACCCTGCTGTTTAACAGTTAAAAATATTTGGTCAGACTGTTTTCTCCATTGAACTATTTACAAAGCGATGGGCCATTATATGTCAGTTGAGGAGAGAAGCCCACCAAGCCATGCTACTAAATAGCATATAATAATGGTACAGCCAGGCTTTCTAAAACTGTCTTTATCCATTGATTTTTTTTTAATACAAAACACAGAATGGCCTATGATGAAATGTCAGCTGAGCTTCAGGCAAAGATCTCGGCATGTGACTGTGTTATAAAGAGCCCTACATTTCCTGGCCTTAGAACTGACAATGTCAAACATAACACTATTTATCCATGTACATATTTTATGTGTGAAATGTATTGTGATATACACAAAAGTTCAAGTCAAGGTCTTTTCATTCTATTTAAACCCCCAGAATTAAAAAAAATCATAAAATCTTCGCAACACGTTATGTCCATGCCTGTTTTTATCTTGTGATTATTGTTAATATTCACATGACTTATCAATTCATCGTCTCCCCGAAGCATCCCACACACAGTAGCGTTCTCCTGTTTGAATAGTTACTTTAAATTTAAAGCTGGGGATAGTTAGAGAAGAAAACCTTGTGACACATGTGTCAACCACATGGTTGTCAATCATGGTTACGATCGGCCAGGTAATGCCCCGGTATACAGACCAATATCCAGACAGACGTGTTAGAAAATTTCTTGCACATCGGTAAAAAATTACAACACAAAAGGTGACACAGCAAGATATGGGAAAGTTGCGTATATAGCTGCCAGTACTCAAGATCAAATTTTGCAAAAAAATGTACCACACGATGCGAATCACTACCGTATTTGTCAATATAAAAACCTGAAACAAATTTCATAAGAAGAGTTTTTTATTTCACTAACAGCTTTCAACAAAAGCAAATTTGTTTAGTAAAAATAAATACGTCTTAATCACAATACTAACATTTGAACAGATTGTATCACCTTTAAGGAACTGTATGATTCTTTGCATTTAACTGCAAAAATAGGTAAATATATATTTCAATAACTGTTTAATCAATTAAAAAAACATGAATTCCCTCTTGAATCGTGATATTATACTAGCTTCAAACATACAGCAGAAATTAAGTAGGTCTGGATAATAGATATAGGTTTTAGAGCGTGCTAACACAATCCATATTTCATTCAACAGCATTTGCCTGAAGACATGAAATTATATTAAACCAGTGGTAAGACCACTACTCCAAGTAATTTAAGTAGTATAATGATTTGATCCATAGCAATGTCAGATCATCTGAGTGCAAGTTTATATATGTATATATATATATATGCATGGTGAGCACTTTTACAGGAAACGTAGAAATATTATATTTTCACTTAAAAATTAATGTTGCATGGTCTATCTACCTGAACACAGTGAATGAATGGAAATGAAATGATTCCCATGCCGTCCTGTCAGTGACAGAGAAATCATGGCAAGATCAAAACTTGATGACTTCACTGGTACAAATCTATCAAAACGATTTACTTCAGTAGGTTCACTGCCCAGTGGAATGCCACAGGATGTGTTAACTGATTTTTCACAGAATATATTTATTGTTGCAAGTATGATTCTGGATGCAAATGAAGTGGCTGGCAATTAAAGATAGAAATGGACAGGTCACAGAAAGCTGATAAATATGCACTCAAACAGACAGGCACAGTATTGCAAAGATATTCTTTCATGTATTTAATAGGAGCAATTTAAAACATTTCAAAAAGGTATGATAATTATGGGTCCCCATTGATTTCTTTACTTCTTAGCACTACTGAACCACCTTGTTGTAATACAAATAATATACAAAAATATGATATATAAAGGCAATCTCATAGCATTTAGAATTGTTTTCAAAGTCCCATTCCAACATTCTGTAAGCTAACAGACATGGCACATCTTGTTTGTGTTGGACATTACACATTAATTGATAAATACTATAATTCAGGACATACATGTATTAAATTTATTGATAAATACTATAATGTAGGACATACATGTATTATATTAATTGATAAATACTATAATTTAGGACATACATGTATTACATTTATTGATGAATAAGGTACATATTTAGCTTATGAAGATGTTTACCTTAACTGCCAATAATTGGTAAACATGAAACACCTATTATGATATGGCAATCATTGATATTACTGAGCATTTTCATTAGGATATTTACAGTAGATGATGAATATGGAGCACACTTATCAGGAAATCTATAACTGAAAAAATATGGGATATGCTTATTAGGAAATTTATAACTAACAAATATGGAGCATGATTATAGGGATTTTTTTATTAACATATAAATATATGAAACAGTTAAGAAGACATTTATGGTAATTTAAGGATATTTACTGCAGTGTGTTTCATATTAAAGGCAGACTTTATAAATTTATATAGTATGCAGTATTTCATTAAAACATTTACGGTAATTGATAACTAAGACTAAAGGGATATTCTTGTTAGGACATTTACTGCAATTCATTTCATATTGTATAAGTAGACTGTACAAAAAATATATACTGCATTGGAACATTTACGGTAATTGAGGATGGACTCATATGTCGATAAATAATAGACATATACATGCAGTCTTAAAATAGCATATAATGTCTTTGATTGCGACATTAATCATGAATTCAAATATTAAAAACATTTATATTTTGACACTTAATCTCTTAAATTCTGAATTAATCTTCCAACAGTAAAGAAAGTTTTCTGCTTAGGGACAATTCAGATCAAGTTCTAGCTTTTATGTTAGGGGGATAGGCCTAGCTTTTATGTGAGGGGATTAACACTTAACTGTTTAAACAGGAGATTTAATCATTTAGTTCTAGTCACTTTTAGCATTGGTTTTCCAGCCTTTCTTCTTAAATTCCAAAAGCTGTTGTAAAAATATGTGTTATCAGGCCTATTGAAGCTTATGATAATTTTGCCCTTGGCCTATAACATTTTTAAAGAGAAACTTCATGCAAGTATAGGTCATTGCGACACCAATTACATTTATTAAAATGTTATGTTGTAACTCGTAAATGTCACGTTATTTATTTTGTGGCGTTTCTTACCTCCGATATTTGTATGGGAGAGCGCACCTCTACCCCTCCCTTCAACGTAAATCCCCATGGGCTCCCACCTTTAAGAACAACTTCAAATGGTTCAACTGTCAATTGGGGTGGCGAATTTTCCACTTTTTCATCTGTATCAGAAGTTCTGTCCTCGTCGCTGACATCAGAACTATCTGATTCCATCGTAAAATGAATTAAATAAACTTAATATAAATCCCGTACGATACTTTTCACACCTCTTCCTTCATCAGGTAAACTTTATAACTTCACCGACAGCCGTGGGAAAAACACGATGCTTTCTCAGTCAACTTGCAAATTAACTTGGGTGATCATCTGGATCAAATGCAAGGTGATCCGAATGATGTCACTCTACATAATCCCACATGTAAACATACAAGGAGACCCGATGGCAACATTTACCTGCGAAGCGGAAGTTTCAGGGGTGAACCTGTTATAGTCCATTTCTGATTAGTACTGTCTGTCGTTCAATGTTGAATATAGACCTACACAGTGCTTGCTGTGTCCTTGGGGCATGTACGAATGCTGTTATCAGCCAAAACAGCGCAAGCCTTCAAAAGTTTAATCTAATTTTGTAGCTCTTATCAAAATAGCCTAATACTTTTATCTGAAATGAAATTATTATATCACGAAATCTGGTGCAGAAATTTATTTATTTATTTAAAGGGTGAAAACTATATGGTAACAGTAGATGTATTTAAAAATTAAAAGAAATGTAGACAAAATCTATAACCGCTTCTAAACTTTTTATCTCAAAACTCAAATACATCTTCTTTCGTTCTGCCCTCCCCGAGTAGTTTCGAGGCATGCTAAATTTAGTCGGCATTCACTGGTCACAGAAAACGAAAGAATTCTTCTTATAGAGCGAATAGCCGCAAAACTATTCTGACGGCTAGATAATGAAATAGCCCAAAAACATTTGAAGTCTATTTCCCATTGCAGATGCTAAATTGACCTTGACGATCGCACATTTATCCAGAGATCTCAATCTAACTGGACTACATAGATGGATTGCAATTTGATACAAGTTGCCGCCTAGTATAGAACCGAACAGTTTTTGTGTTAGGGTTCTCGACACTTGTTTACCGATGGTAACAAAAGATGTTCACATTAGGAATTTAAAAAGGCAGTAATGATCATCGTACGCCCACAGGTGTGCAGGGCTACAGGTGTGCATGGCTGTTCGACTACAGTACATTTCTAGCGGTTACAAAACAATTATAGCTAGTGTATAGGCTTTGACGTAATGTAAAGTCGAAGGTTATATGCACGCGGCATGCCTAATTATAAACACCAAATTCGTGTAGTTTTAAACTTTAATGTTATATCAATGTCTAATTACATCTAAAAATGGGTGCGAAAAGTGTCTGATATAGAAATAGAGATTGTCATTCTTCACTGAACATATTTATTAATCAATGTAGTTTTATCCTTTATGCTGAAGGTATCTATAAATTACAACAACAAAAAAAACAATAATTATCATACATTAGACTTATTTATGAATTTCAAATGTAGAAATAAAAGTGAAATGTTGTGGGGAAATCATGCTTTGTTTGAGATTGTGAAATTTCACCAAAAAAATTATCTCATGATTTTAAAATTACAATTCCGATTTCAGTTTCATGAAAAATTCACTTTTCATGTTGTGAATACGCATTAGTGTTTCATTTAATTTAGCAAAGTAAAATCAGTTTTCCCTAGTTAAAAAAAATGTGAAATGAACAAGGCTTCTTGTACAGCGCATTCAAACAGTGGGATACATACGGCTGCTATATCTAGCTGGGGTTTCACTGTGTTTGACTGACATGTGATTCATTGCTGGTTTACGTCACGTGCTAGTGACATTTGCGACGTTGGTCACGATGTGCGGTCAGTTATCCCCCCAGGAAATGGACGATGGTAAGAAAGTTTACGACCCGGTGGAAAGGGTTTCCTCAGCTTTATAAACATCTTTATTTTATTTAACTGGAAATATGGTTAATTTGTTATAGTTTTAAAATAAGACATTACAAAAGTAATTTGAAAAGACATTTCCGTTATCTTAATTCAATTATTTGGAGATATAATTCGGCTAACAAGTATGTAATGGGCAAATGGACAAATAGGGTTTGACCTCAATGGACTCCTTTCTCTTTATGTAACTTTATAAGACCAGGAGACGTCTTTTCCCATTTATGATTCATTTTAAGGAGGTAGTTTTTATAACTGAAAAAAAGGATGAAAATGGAAGCATAAAAGGAAATGAAGTTTGGCTTTTGGATTTCTTGTATTGAAACATTGGAACTAAAGGAAAAGTCTTACCAACATGTCGCAAGGACGGACGGACCGACGGAAATGTTGCGAGGGCGTACTGATTATATAACAAGTGATAAGTTATATGACTAGATCAAGTAGAGACATTAAGATGTTAGAATCAAGTTTATTTCAGGAAGAAATATAATATCATAAGTTGAGAGATAAAATAGAACAGTAGAAACAAATTAAATGTCAATCGGAAAATCGGGAATTTCCCTTAAAGTAGAACAATAATAAAATATAATATCATGGAGTTATGCGCGAACCGGTGTGCACGTGAAGACGTTCTACACAGGATGAGCATATTTGCTTACTAATTGGTGAAGCGCGTGCTCTATCAGTTAGCACAATATTAAACCATGCTAAAAAGTCATTTACCTAAAGTTCTTATGATAAACAAGTTACACTTGTGGAACCTCTATTTATTGCCCTTGTATATCAATAACGTTAGAGGTCTTTGGTTTCATTCCGTAAACGGGTAATTTCTTGTTTACGGAAATTGCCGACCATATTGGTTCCCGATTATTTAAACAAGTTTAATGAGCGCATCACTTTTCTAACTGTTTATGATCCAGCAAGATGGGAAATGCCCCTTTTGTAAATGGGCGGTAGGCATTCCCCATTACACTACCGAGACCAATCATTTATTACTGTGAGGTTTATTAAAAACAATATCCATAGTTATTCTATAAGAAACTCTCTTTTCTATGAGCACCTTGTCATTCTTCTGATTATCAAAGAAAACTGATTTCAATGTATCATTCATTCGTTATATTTGTTTGACACTTGAAGAAAGGAAACATACGCGTTTATACTTTGCGACATATTCTAAGGGTAGATATTTTTCCGCAGGTTGGTGGTTTCCCGGTTACTCCGGCTTTCCTCCACCACCAAAACCTTGCGCGTTCTTGAAAGACCACAGCTGTTATTAGGACATAAAACACAAACAAACCAAACAAAACATACCAAAAGCATTTGATCGGGTTTGGCTTTTTGGGCCATTACCTAAATTCAATCAATTTGAATAGCTGGAAATCTTTTAAGTTGGTTTATAGATGATCTACGTTACAGAAATCGAACATATTTCAGAGTTACTTTCATCCTCCGGTGTTGTTGGAGAAGGATGATTACCACAGTATCACATTCTTGGTTCATTATTTTTCTTATTATACAAAGAATGTTTCCGATGGGTTTTTTTCAGTTTTCTTTTTATCTACCTCAGTTATTTTTGCTGATTATATTTAAATATCATCTAATTTTCGTCTCGAAATATTCCGTCTTTGCGTATTGCAGAGTTATCTTCTCTTGTGAGCAGATATTGATTGCTACGTCATTTGTTTGTGAAAGTAACGTCATCAATTTTTGAGAAAACGACGTAATTTCCCCACACAAACCAATAACGTAACAATCAATACCTGCTCACAAGAGAAGATAACTCTACAATACGCAAAAACGGAATAGACCGGTGTTAATCCTGCATGATTTACAATCGCTTGATGTTCGGGCAAAGCGGTTATTAATAATTAACTGACCCTGGATAAACAGAGGTTTTATTGATAAGATATTCTTCCAGTTTACACGGTCAGCTTGACCTTATTTTTGGGGGTGACTTTTTAACTTTTACATAATCGTAGTTGTTTTCAATTCAGATGGAAAATGGATCATATTAATTATATTTATAATTCTGTAATAATTTCTAGAAATTTAAATATTTTCTTAATCGAAAAACAGTGCTGAGAAATTACACCACCTTTATTTTCCCGGTTTTGGAATATTCGTGCGAACTCCGAGGACGGATGATGCACGCTCATCGAATCATATTTGCTTGATAGATGCAAAAAAAAGGTTTACGAATCATTAATTGTTTTCCAACCTATGATAATAAGTTTACCGCGATTATCTAATGAAACTGAAAAGCTATCAGAATGAAGGAAAAGGTGAACGCAGCAGTTTTTTTTATACATAAACAGTTTCACACCTTTTATAACAACCAACTATACAATTTAATAATCCTCTCCCGTTTAGAAATAGAAAAGACTATTCCAAATTAAATGCTTACCAGTACAAGTCCTTAATTTTTGTCGTGAACAATACTTTCTGGAAACTGGAAAAATAACCATATAGTTTTATGTCTTTTAAAAAGTCGAAAATACTACTGAAAATCAACAAAAGAAAAAAGTCTTCAGTATTTATATATTATGCATTTTATTTTTTCACGGAACTATTTTGAGTCTAAGATACATATGTTTCGTGTTCAATTCCACAAGCGTAATTACTATTGCTTCTCTGCACTGATAAGCTTTAAGCTCAGATGAAAATTGACCTGAGATTGGAGTAAGACTTTGCCTCTTTGATTTATATTTTATCTTATGGGCAATTAAAGCTAATTTAACGTCTTTTTATTTATTAGATGACCCTGTTCAGAAGTACTGATGTTCAAAGTCGTGAAGTTAGCTGAATGAAAAAATACCGAAAAGTTTTAAACACCTCAGTAGATTATATCTCCGCAATACCGCGGACTTAATTAATATGTACAACATGTCACTCATGTTTGGTCGTGATGACGCATACGTTTGTCAAATACTTTCCTGAAACAGACTTTAACATCTTAAATTATATCGCTAATTGATAAAATTGGCTCATAGCGGGTCAGTAGATATATACACATTTGAAGTGACATGATTCCCCTTATCGTCACCCTGTCAAGCGCGAAAATAAATAACAAAATAGAGGATTACGGACAAAGGTGATTTATCTAAACAAGGAACATAAAGGCTGACGTACTAACAGAACAAGGAATGTACCGTACATATCTTGTGTAAATGTACCCAGAGACGTATATATTACCACGGAATTAGATTCCAAGTCCGTGATATTACATATTGTACCGTAATTCGTTGTGTTGTCATTGGATTGATTTCGGAAGACAATTTCAATCAGGAATGGATTTTGGTTGCCGGTAAAATTAATTAATTAAAAAGGACGACCACATTTTTATTTAGAATAC